AAAGTAAATGTCTAGAAAAGAATGATGGCAACATATGTACACATATGCCTGATAAAATTGATGTATAGATGGTAATAAGCATTGGAAGAGCCCTCAAGAAAATTATCCAAAAATAAAAATAAAAAAGCCTCAGTTTGTGGGCCACAGGGAGGAAGCGAGCAGGCAGAGGGTGCACAGCACCGAGGCTTCCTCCTGGTTGCTCAAGTAGCTCTGCCTGAGCTCACTTCCAAGGAGGCTCAGTAGAAGAGCAAAGTGCAGAAGGGTGACCTTGTGAGGGAGTGTGTGAAGTGCACCTGGGGGCTCTGCATCCCCAGTCTCAGGACTGTGGAGTGAGTTTCCCAGAGAGCCCCTGCAAGGCCCGGTGCAGACAACCCTGCAACTGGAAGGAGTTTGGAGCTGACTGCAAGGATTTATTTGAGAGCTGAGGTGTGTGTGATAGCACAGGCACTGAAGCCTGCCAGGCCAAACTGAAGGAGCTGTGGTGTCTTGCCCAGTGCAGGAGGCTTTCTGAGTGACAGAGGCCTGTCCCACCAAGACCAAATGCCAAGCCATAGCCAAGAAAGGAAAGGGACAAGACTAGAGGTTGGACCTGGATGTCAAGCCCCCACCTGACTGCTCGGGGCCTGGCCAAGCCTTTTCCTCCATAGGGCCCAAGCCACAGTGCACCTTTTCCCCTCTCATGCCATTATCTATCCTGCCCTGCTTCTGCCCTTTCACCCCCTACTTCACTCTGAGCACCCTAAGTGGGGAGTGACTAGGGGCTCTAGGAAGGTTAGGCCTCTCCCCAGCATGTTTGATTCTCACTCCCTCCCCACTCACCATGTTCTCCTCCACAATGATACCATTGCTAAGAAAAATAAAATAAAACACACCCTTCAAAAGGAGTAAATTTGATAACATTTGGAGTTATTTAAGTTACATTTCATGTCCTCAACCACTATAGTATTATTATGCACTCCTATAGTTTGAGCATTTGATTCAAAATAAACAGTAACAGTACATCAATTTTACAGACAAAATTGGAATGAATTTACTCATTTTTCTTGTCAGATCACAGATTTTGTGTTAGAATTTACAACTGTAAAAATTATACAAATTGTAGTATAATCTTTTAGCTTGGACAGTGTTTTGTTTTAATCAACTATGAACAAATATGTTGATAAATTTGACAGACTTGATTAGCCCAGCTGTGGAGTTTTCACAGCAATATACTGACAGGGAGCTGCCAGAGGTTCAGAAGAGGATGTGAAACAAAGGATGGCATTGCTGACATCACAGGGATCTCGGCTCAAAGAAGAGAATATCAGAGAGACATTCACTTGTGTTTTATTGCCCCTGCAATGGCATTTGAGTGTATGGATCATAACAAACTATAGTCAGACTTCAGAAGAATGGGAATTCCAGAAGACTTCATGATGCTGTGTGGCACTTGTCCATAGATTAAGAGGCAGTCCAGAACAAGGGGTATGGCATGGTTTGAAATCAGGAGGAACATGCATCAGAGTTGTATCCTGCTACTGTACCAAGCTCTCTCAGCTGCACGGTGGTAGGCTAGTTTCATTGCTCTTACTTTTATAGTGCGGCTGCTTTCCATAATAAATAGCTTTGACAGCTGGTATGCCATACTCAGAGAAATTTCGAATCTTCAATCAGTCCACACTAACCCCAGCAAGAATTTAATTTTTCATGAATTAATGCACTTCTTGAGTTGGCCTCACATATTACTTTAAATGCAAATTCCTCAGGTATTTCTTATAATAGAAGAAAAGACTGCAGCTTAACTGGCAAGCTTCACCACCGCCTCCATCCCATTATTTATTAAGTAATATAAGAGCTGGGATTTTTAAGAATCATTTTATTGGAGGCTCATATGACTCATCACAATCCATACATACATCCATTGTGTAAAGCACATTTGTACATTCATTGCCCTCATCATTCTGAAAACATTTGCTCTTCACTTAAGCCCCTGGCATCAGCTTCTCATTTTTCCCCCTCCCTCCCTACTCCCTCATGAACCCTTGATAATTTATAAATTATTATTTTGTCATATCTTACACTGTCTGACGTCTTTGAAGTTATCCCATAAAAATCCTGAGTTACCCCGGGGCCAGTAACGTGTGTGGAGGTGAGCTGCCGCCAGGCCTCCTCAGTGGTTAGCCTGGGCGGCGGGTCCCACCGCGGCGTGCCCAGTGGGCTGCCGCAGCCTGGTTGTGGCCCTGAGAGGGCGAGGAAGTCCCAGGAGCCAGCCTGGCTGCTTCCTCAGCCAGAGAAGAAAGACCGGAAGCCTCCTGTCCAGACCTCCTTGGGCTGGGCTGTCGGGACAGGGAGGGCAGCATGGGTAGGGCTGGTCCTCCCGTGGGCTCGCCTTCAGGTGGCCCTCCCACAGTGATGGGGGGGCAGGCTCTCCTAATTAGGCGAGGCTTCCTTCCGGGGCAATCTGAGGGGCCCTAGTTTGGCAAGGAAGGAGGAAAGGAAGCGTTGGGGCGTTTGATAAAGGAGAATAAAGAGTGACGTGGAAAAAAAAAAAAATCCTGAGTTACCATAGGGACACTACGCACAACAGAAAGAAAAACATGACACAGTTCAGAGCCCCCCTCACAATTTACACACTTGAACCCACAAATAAAACATTTATGAAAATATTACAAACACAGCAATAAAGAAAGTCTTAATACATTTTCTCTTATCATAGGAAAAGGCAATATGATACTAATAATCTCTACAAAATTCACAACACACATTTAGAACTTAATATGTAAGTACCTTGTACTCTATATCTATGGATTAAAGATGAGACTGTTCTTGTCCATATAAAGTGTTCATAGCTGAATGGTACTGAGAATACTATGTCATAATTAAGGAAATGCAGCTAAATTATAATTTACCCTCAATAGAAAATGAAAAATGAGCGATGAGGGCAATGAATGTACAAATGTGCTTTACGCAATTGATGTATGTATGGATTGTGATAAGAGTTGTATGAACCCCTAATAAAACGATTAATAAACAAATAAAAAAAAAATCCTGAGTTACTTGTACAGTTGTAAACAGAATTTAAAAATGTGAAAAATTTAACACATGGTTTGTGTTAGGCCACATTGACTAGAAAAACAAATCCAATGAATTATATGTATATGAACTTTATATTAAGAAATCATCGCAGCCCAGTCCAACCTAAGTCCATAAGTCCAATTCTAGCTCATAAGTTTCTCGTTAGACCCATGCAACCAGATGCAAAGAAACAGAATGCAGGAAGATCCCAGGCTGGTGGGTGCAGCATTGTGGAGATCATTGGAAATGTGCCAGGGCACTGGCAACTGTCAGGGTGGCCAGCATGTAGGAAAATGAGGGGGGAGAGAGAACAGTTCCCAGTCTCACACTCTTATACCATTAGGGAGTCATCAGGCTGACTTGACTGACAGGTTTGACTCCACCCCTAGCCAGGTTGACATAAAATCATCTAATATGGTTGTTTTACAGGTTCTTCAAATAAAGCATGTGTGTGATGCAAGAATAATCGCCACTATATAAAGGATTACATAAAAATATTACTAGTGTATTATAGGATAAGAATTTTACTGAAAAAGAAAATAAAATATTAAGAAAAAATTATGACATTTGCAAAATTAGTCACAAAGACAAGGAAATTATTGAAAATTTTCTCTAAGAAAAGAAACATAATTATATGAGATATATTTAAAATAGGTATTTTTAATGGGACCTGTTGGAATAAATTGTGACTATGCAAATTGACTATTTAATATTAATTTTAAATTAATAAATCAATTTAAATGATAAGAAGTATTTTTCATATGCTTCAATATTTAGAAAATAAATTTCTATATATATGTGTGAGCAATTTACATAGCAATAGCTAATGTGTTTCAAAAATACACTATCAAAGGCATATTTGTATTCAACAACTTGTATTAATTTTCATTGTGTATAATTATTTTTTCTTAGTAACTATGCTGAAAAGAAGTTTTACTTAAAGATAGGCATCACGAACTTTGCCTGTATAATAATTCTAAAATAAATAGGCATATATATTCAATCATGTTCTGGAGTTGGAAGCAAATTATTAAGAATTGTTAACAATATTTCCACCCATACTTTTATATATAACACTAGTCCCTTTGTCTTGATCTGGGGTTCTTTTTTTTATTGCTATCTTTTCATCTCTCACTACATTTGATAGAAAAAATAATGTAATCATAAGGCTAATTTAGGGAAGTGTTCTTTATTACATGGAAGTATTTCCTGAAACAGTCCAAAATTGCTTGATTATGGAATATTATGTTATTATATAACATGTGATATTCCTGATGAAAATAGGATGTGAAGTTATAAATATTAGCTATGATTGATTTTGATGACCTATTCTTTTAAATCATGTCAATTTTCATTTTTCCCAAGATCCACCCATTTAAAAAAAATATTTTCTTTTACTCCACTCTTAAATAATACATTTACTTACTATTATTTATCCACTATAGGGTTCATTTCTTCTAAGAAATTTTGCCAAGAAACAGTTTTACTTTTCTATGTAACTTTACTCTGCATATATGGGATTGCAGTGAGACAGAAGCCATTGAGGACAATTGACAACAGCTGAGAGTAACAAACAACTGCCAGGTTTCACCAAGAAGCAAATCCAGTGGAGGGTGAGACTCCTTCATGAATTTAAGGACACACCCAATATGCCAACCTCGATTCAAGTAATTTTAAATAAAATGATCACTTACTGCCTGTCATTTGGAAATTCCTTTGGAAAATACCTAAATCCTCAAAACCTAAATATTCCACGAATAAATGGAGAAAAATGTGTCCAATTAAGTCAGCGATGGGTGATGCTACCAAGTTTCCAGTGTTTAATGTTTCCGAGTCAAGGGCGTCAGCAGCCGGCTTACTTCACACTGACACCTGGTGGAAATGTGGAATCTTCAGCATCTTCGCAAACAGTACAAAATCGAACTTTGAAAGCTTTCTGAAATCATTTATTTCTTTATGATTCTCTTCAGAGCTCCTGTAACCTCTTTGTTTCTCAGGCTGTAAATGAAAGGATTCAACAGAGGAATTACTATTGTGTAAAATAAGGAATACATGGTGTCCTGGTTATCAGCTCGGCCGGGGTCGGGACGCACGTACATTAAGAAGATTGTGCCGTAGAACAAAGTCACCGATAGCAAATGGGCACTGCACGTGACAAAGGCTTTGCTTCTGCCCCTTTCAGACTTCTTTTTCAGGATGGCAAAGAGCACACAGGTATAAGAAACTATGATGGCCACAAAAGTAAAGACTTGTATAAAGACTGAAAAGATGAAGATCAGGAGTATATTAATTGTAGGATCAGTACAAGAAATTTTGAACAGTTGTAAAAATTCACAGTAGAAATATTGGATTAAATTGGATCTGCAGAAAGTTAATCTAAATACGAAAGTCACGTGAACCATGGAGTGCATTAAACCAGTAACATATGAAATGCCTATTAGTCGCATGCAGAGGGTGTTGGGCATCATTATCGGGTAAAGCAAAGGGTGACATATGGCCACATAGCGGTCATAGGCCATCACTGCCAGGAGGAAACATTCTGTGGTTGCACTGGAAGCAAAAACACAAAATTGAGCTATGCACTCACAGAGGGATATCAAGTGATGGTTGACTAAAAAATTTACAAGCATCTTAGGAGTCACAGAAGATGAAGTGCAAGCATCCGCAAAAGCTAAGCTGCCGAGGAAGAAGTACATGGGTGTGTGCAGGTGGGCGTCCTTCCAGATGAGGGCAATCAGTCCAAGGTTCCCCAGCATGGTGAGAAGGTAGGTCACCAAGAACCCCAGGAACAGGGGCACCTGCAGCTCTGGACGATCTGTAAGTCCCGTGAGAACAAACTCTGTCACTGAGGTCTCATTTCTATCTGCCATATCCACCCTGTCCAATCACTGAAATGAAATAATAAATGAGAAAAACAGGCACAGAAAAATCATAAACATGGTGAGATTTTCATCGCTAACACATTTCTCATTTGCTAAATCAATTTTTCATCTCGTATGTCCACTCTTACATATATGAAAATCTCCCAAATAAAATTTCTGTCAAGTAAGTGTTAGGCTACTAACCACGAGGTCAGAGGTTCAAACTCAAAGAAGAAGCTTTTAGCTCTCATGAGGATTTACTACCTCAGAAACTTTATGTAGAGTCCTGATGAGTTGTAATTGTCTGGATGGTAGTGAGTTTGATTTGGTTTAATTCACATATGGTAACACATGAAATTAAAACAAATCGTTTAAAATGAATTGGGTAGTTTACAACATGTCCTTATCTTGAATTAGACATGAAAAAAAGATCGAAAAGACCAAGAAAATGTACCTATAAGAATAACCAAGAGTACTTTAATTGATATTGAACTGTAATATAGTATTATAGTAAGGAAATATTGAGATAGTGACATGAGAATAGACAAGAAGATCATGCAATAGAAGAGTGAGTTTAGAAATTGATTATAGCATACATGAGAATATGATATAAAATAAATACGATACTTCAATGCCATAAGATAAGGATGAGTGATTTGACAAATAACTCTGGCTCTGCTGTTTACTTTAAAGTACATCACGTTAGCCCCACACCTTACATCATAGATGTTTTTTTAAGATACTTAGGAGAAAATAAAGTAACATGGGAATTAGAGAAACCTTTAAGCAAGAGAAGAAAGTCAGTATAGAAGCATAGTCACTATTTAACTTTATTAAGTAATGAAAGACTGTCTAACCATAGTCAACAAAGTTATAATAGGTTAGGGAATATATTTTACCATGTTTATGAAAGATACAGGTGAATACCATGTAATTTAAAAATAACTGTTAAAAATAGATAAGAAAAGAGTTACAGATATGAATGACAGGTGTGCAGATGAACAAATCAAAATGCCCAATAAATACATGAATAGTCTCTCAGCTTTCTGTATGATCCATATGTACACACCTTCACACACACACACACACACACACACACAGCTTCCATGTCATCCTAGTATTTAATTGCTAGGAATAAGTTTGAATAAATGTAACCCTGGAGTATGAAGAGCTATACTTTCATACATTACTCATGAAAATTACGAGAACCATTTTGAAAGAACAAAAATATAACCCCACTGCATTAAAAAAGATACCATGCTCTTTGATTTACTGCTTTTACTTTATATACCACAGAAATAAAAGCACCACTTCACAAAGATAAATATACAAATAATAATCAGTGCATCTTTACTTCGGGTGACAAGGCCCAGACACATGGACTATAAGATGGTTGAATAATCAAAGTATTGTCATATTATGGAATATGATTCAATCATGGGACAAAGAGCTATATCACTTGAATTGAAAATTTCTACAGTGTATAGCTATCTTGGATGAGTAAACTAATAACAAGGGTAAATAATGTCATCATATTATACAGCAAGTAGTGGATTTTAAAAGCTCCTTTCCATGGGAAAAGTGTAATTAGTAGACACTATTTATAAGGCTAGTTTTTCAGGAGTGGAATTGTGATAGAGTGGGAAAAGTTGGGGAGTAAAGAGGGACACATTGAAGTAATGAGATCTCCTTACTGGGGATGGGAACAGCATAAAACTATGTAGTTAACTTTTATGTGTGTACATCTATCTATACACATGTATAGAAGTATATGTTAGGGACTTGGTGTCACTTTGAAGATGTTCATACTTACATCCTTTTTAAGCATTCTTCATATGGTATATTGCCAAAGACAAACTATCTCATCATTTGTTGTAAGTTATGCTTTTCCTCCAGATCTACCATAAAGTTTCTATTATGTATTATCTTTCTGTTGTAATAAAAATTACTAAGTGGCATCAAAAAAAGAAAAAGAAATGTACGGAAGGTTGTTCTCTAACATGTCAATCTTGAAGAATAGAAACAAGAACAACTAATTCCTATTGTTGCATCTTAAGGCCATGTTTTGGCCCTCAGAAACCCAACGTTTAATTAAAATTTATTCATTTGTAATATTTTTGCACAAATGTTACTTAAAACAGAAATAGGCTTCTGGGAATTTAACATTCTTTTTAATATTACCAACAGGAGTAGATCTTTGACCACTGAGAGTAGCTGTACTTTGTTGTTTTTTAAAAAAATATTCAAATCTTCACTACAATAGCATGAGATAGGAACTCAAAAAAGGTGCTTTTTAAGGATTTTTTTGTTGGTGTGTCTGTAATTGGATAATCATCCCTACCTACTTTGTAATTTTGTCACTATTTTGATTATGACATTTGATGTTTGCATAAAGTAATTAGATTGACTTTGTTTCTAATTTATGAATAGTCTCTGAAAGAAAGCCCAAAACCAAGTTTTCTTTCGAATATACAGCCTCCTAAAATAATGTATACAATACATATAAGTATATAAATTGTTATGGTGTTGAAAAATCACTTTAATAATTTTATAGTTATAATTCTCAAAATCTAGAAAATATAACAATTTTATTATGAGAATATATAAGAAAAATGAAACTCATTCTGATCTGAAAATAGATTAAAGGTTCTTTTTCTAAGAATGAATGATTGTCATGAGAAACAGTTGGGTGTTATTCTACCTTCAGTAAAAATAAAAAATGAATAAGTTTCAACACTTATACTTCACAAATACAATATTAACAGAAAATAAGAATGCTAAGAGTTTTGGTGTTGAACAATCTGGTCCAACATTTTTTTGTAACATCAAATAACCAAATCATTGATACTGTTATTGTTACTGTCTACAATGTATGATTTAGCCAAGAATTATGAAGCCTTGTCAATTTTCTTTCCAGAGGGCTACTAAGTTATCTCAGTGATTGTAGTTCATATTCTCATGATTTCATAAAATTTAAGTTTTTAAATTAAAATACATCACAAAGTTTAAACCAGAATTAGTTTTACACTGAAAACTACAAATAAATTAGATTCAAACACCATTGCTTACATTTAAAGAAAGCTTTCAAAATTTTAAAATAAACTCCCCTAAATTGGAATTGTTATTATAATTATTATTTAAAATGTTCAGCTTCTTCTGATTTTTTTCTATTAGTCAAAGTTTACTATTTAAAAAAAAATCTCAATCAACCTGTTACCAACACAGTGAAAATTCTTACTGAAATCTTATTTTGAACCGACATTAAAATAAAGCCTACCTAGGGTTTTAATTTTTTTACTTATATACTTTGTTATATTATAGATAAAGTGCAAAGGCATTATACTGAAAATTGTGGAAACATTTGCACACTCACCCAGTTTCTGTAAACTATTAGGAAATTGAAATTTTGCTTTTGTTATTCAAAGCAACAAAAGCTGCATAAATGAGGTAGTGTTACTTTTAAGATTTTCCTTGTAAACTCCAAACTTGAGCTCATAACATTTCTTTCTTTTGTTTTTAAACCTATTCTTTAACAAGAAAATGTAAATTCCCTCAATGCATCCAGATGACTCCCAATAGGATGAAGTCATAATTGTTCTCCTGGGTACTGTATTGTGAACTAATCATCAGATCTCTGAGACACAACTAGTTGAAACAATTAAAATTATATGTTTTCAGGGTTCGCTGTAGGGTCAAACTTCTAAAAAACCAAAGAGGGTTAAAATAACTTTTTCTTTTTTATCTCTCTCAATGGTATCGCTACCCACTTACCTATTTGAATTATCCACTTGGAAATCCCCAAAGTACTTTAAAATGAACATATCTGAATCTGAAATTAATATTTTGTACAATCCCATCCCTAAACCTGGTTTCTTACAGTGTTACTTGACTCGGGGAAAGGAATGGGGTCATCAAGCAGTGAGTTATGCAAACCATAAATAGGAAGAAAATCTTGGCACTAAAGTCTATCTCAGCCCCACTGTTTAACAATTGCCTGAATCTCTGCATTTTTATCTGATAAACTTGTTTCGAAATGCCCCTATTCTCTATGCAACTTTCTCTCACTATCTCCACCTTATCCTTCAAAAACCAAGATAGGGCCATCTATTGTCTAGTGTGGTAGCTACATAATCATTTGTCAATTTGAAAGGATTAAGAGTGAAGGGATGGAGTCTAGCTTGTTGATCAGGCCTATGAAGCCTCCGTGGGGGCATGGCCTTCTCCTGAGGATTCTGGGAACTTCTCTATTCCTCCTTGGAGGCGGTAGACAATCTTTCTCTCAGCTCACTCCCAGTAGACATTGCAGTTGACAAGACACATGGAACTATGCTAGTGCCCTAAGCTGGAGAAGCCACGTGGAGACCCCTGCCAGTGCTGCAATGCTTACAGCACCACTCGATCCACAAAACTCTCCCCACACTGGCCTGTGATCTTCCTGCATTTGGTGTCACTGCATGTGTTTTGTGAGTCTGCAGAGGACTTTGTAGATTGGTATCGGACTTATGGACTTGATCTGGGATGTTTTCTCAACATTCAATTGATCTTGTATATAAAGTTCTTTCTTATACACACATGTGTCTATGAATTTGTTTCTCTAGTCTACCCAGACTAACACATCTAGATTAATTAAATAACCTCCTTATAACATTATCTACATTTTCAATCACACTAATTCAATCCATTTTTCACACTGACATCAGATGGATAGCTTTAAAGTTTTATTATTGTCTCATCCTCATCTCCACTTAAATATATTAAATATTCTTCATCCCATAAAAGAAAGCAACTTCAATTCTTAAGGTTAAACATTGAAGAACAACAATAAAAATCCCCCAAAATATCACTTTTAAGGAATTTAAACTGATTTAGAGATGACTGGGGAAATGAAATTAGAACAGGTTGAAATTTGAAGTTTTTTGAGTGAAGCAGAATGATAACTGGAATGGAGACTTGGGAGAGGTTTGCGAGCTTGGTGCTGTAGTGTTTATTCACTGGGCTGCAGCCGGCAG